GAGGAGAGAGTCTTAGTGTTTAGAAGGGGAATCCCCCTTCCATTAAGACTTGAGGTGTCAAGTCCTTTTCTGGGGTTACTTCCCTTCTTCTTTTAATGCCACTAGGACCAGCTTCAGAGTCACTGGACTTTTGTCGCACAACATATCTGTCCATAGTGGCCTGTACCTCTCATTCCTTTATGACTTCCCTAAAGTGTTTCACAACATTGTCAGTGTAATAGTCACCAGCACGGCTTGCAATAGCTGTGTGAGGGTGATTTTCATCCATAAAGGTTTGCACTTTCAGCCACATTGCACAGATTTCCTTAATCTTTGTAGTAGGCAACTTCTTCAATTTCCTCTCTCCCTCCTCCGAACCAGTTTCCTCAGGTCTGGCCTCTTGCTGTTGAAGTTGATCTAGCAGCTCATCAGTGGTTAGTTCTTCATTGTCCTCCTCCACCAACTCTTCCACATCATCCCCACTAACCTCCAACCCAAGGACTTTCCCAATGCCACAATGGATTCCTCAACTGGCATACTCCTCTCAGGGTTAGCCTGAAAACCCTTCAAAATCCCTTTCGTCTACACATTCTGGCCACAGTTTCTTCCAAGCAGAGTTCAAGGTCCTCTTAGTCACTCCCTCCCAAGCCTTACCTATAAGGTTTACACAATTGAGGATATTAAAGTGCTCTCTCCAAAACTCTCTTAGAGTCAGTTGAGTTTCTGAGGTCACTACAAAGCACCTTTCAAACAGAGCTTTTGTGTACAGTTTTTTGAAGTTTGCAATAACCTGCTGGTCCATGGGCTGCAGGAGAGGAGTGGTATTAGGAGGCAAAAACTTCACCTTAATGAACCTCATGTCCCCATAAAGTCACTCTGCCACGTCTGTAGGATGACCAGGGGCATTGTCTAACACCAGGAGGCACTTAAGGTCTAATTTCTTTTCAGTTAGGTAATCTTTCACATTGAGGGCAAATGCATGGTGTAACCAGTCATAGAAAAATTCCCTAGTGACCCATGCCTTACTGTTTGCCCTCCACAGCACACACAAATTAGCCTTGAGGATATTCTTTTGCCTGAACGTTCTGGGAGTTTCTGAGTGATACACTAATAAAGGCTTCACTTTGCAATCACCACTAGCATTGGAACACATCAACAGAGTAAGCCTGTCTTTCATAGGCTTATGTCCTGGGAGTGCCTTTTCCTTCTGAGTAATGTAGGTCCTGCTTGGCATTTTCTTCCAAAACAGGCCTGTTTCATCACAACTGAACACTTGTTCAGGTTTCAGTCCTTCACTGTCTATGTACTCCTTGAATTACTGCACATATTTTTCAGCTGCTTTGTGGTCCGAACTGGCAGCCTCACCATGCCTTATCACACTATGTATGCCACTACGCTTCTTAAATCTCTCAAACCAACCTTTGCTGGCCTTAAGTTCACTCACATCATCACTAGTTGCAGGCATTTTTTTAATTAAATTCTCATGCAACTTCCTAGCCTTTTCACTTATGATCACTTGAGAGATGCTATCTCCTGCTATCTGTTTTTCATTTATCCATACCAATAAGAGTCTCTCAACATCTTCCATCACTTGCGATCTCTGTTTCGAAAACACAGTTGAACCTTTGGCAAGAACAGCTTCCTTGATTGCCGTTTTGTTGCCCACAATAGTAGCGATGGTTGATTGGGGTTTATTATACAACCTGGCCAGCTCGGAGACACGCACTCCACTTTCATACTTATCAATGATCTCTTTCTTCATCTCTATAGTAATTCTCACCCTTATTGCTGTAGGGTTGGCACTAGAAGCTTTCTTGGGGCCCATGGTCACTTATTTTGCAGATAAAATCACTAAAAACACTGTAATAATACGAAATGTTCCGATTGTATGCTTGGATGTTACCCCGGAGGCTTGCTGGTAAACAATGCCACCGGTGGAACATGTGAGGCTAGCTCAGGCCGCACATTAGACGTGTCTCGGACGAACAGCGTTGAGCGGGTTTTTTAGCGGTATGCGAGGCAAAATCTTAGCGATAAAATGTATCGGTATGCGGATTTAACGTTATGTAAGGCCAACGGTATGTGGGGGTCCACTGTATATATATCCCTCAGATTGGAGGGAGAGAGTATGGAGGAGGTGAATGTATTCAGATATTTTGGAGTGGACGTGTCAGCGGATAGGTCTATGAAAGATGGGGTGAATCACAGAATTGATGAGGGGAAAAACGTGAGCGGTGCACTTATGAGTCTGTGGAGATAAAGAACTTTGTCCTTGGAGGCAAAGAGGGGAATGTACGAGAGTATAGTTTTACCAACGCTCTTATATGGGTGTGAAGCATGGGTGATGAATGTTGCAGCGAGAAGGCTGGAGGCAGTGGAGTTGTCATGTCTGCGGGCAATGTGTGGTGTGAATATAATGCAAAGAATTCATAGTTTGGAAGTTAGGAGGAGGTGCGGGATTGCCAAAACTGTCGTCCAGAGGACTAAGGAAGGGTTGTTGAGGTGGTTCGGACATGTAGAGAGAATGGAGCGAAACAGAATGACTTCAAGAGTGCATCAGTCTGTAGTGGAAGGAAGGTGGTGTAGGGGTCGGCCTAGGAAAGGTTGGAGGGAGGGGGTAAAGGAGGTTTTGTGTGCGAGGGGCTTGGACTTCTAGCGGGCATGCGTGAGCGTGTTTGATAGGAGTGAATGGAGACAAATGGTTTTTAATACTTGATGTGCTGTTGGAGTGTGAGCAAAGTAACATTTATGAAGGGATTCAGGGAAACCGGCAGGCCGGACTTGAGTCCTGGAGATGGGAAGTACAGTGCCTGCACTCTGAAGGAGGGGTGTTAATGTTGCACTTTAAAAACTGTCATGCAAAGCACCCTTCTGGCAAGACAGTGATGAAGTGAATGATGGTGAAAGTGTTTCTTTTTCGGGCCACCCTGCCTTGGTGGGAATTGGCCAGTGTGCTAATAAAAAAAAATAAAATATAACAAGATAATCAGTTTTAATATTAACCCTGTTCTGAAACACTTTCTTGACAGCTGCAACGGCACTCATAGGTATAATACAAGACACAAAAATCTCTGTCAGACAAATCCTGAAACCCTATGTTATCATCCAAGTCTGTCCCTGTTCTTCTCATTCCAGCTTTTCTTCAACTATTATATATTACTAGATAGGCATGTACTATCTCATCCTATTTTGCATTCATTCAAGTAACTAGTATCACTCAATCTGCTAAACTTGGCAATTATATCTTCTTATTGTGATTTATATTTTGAATTACATGTAACTGAATAAATTTTAATAGTATGGAATGAGAATGAGTGTTGCCCGAGATGTTATGCATGCTATGGGCCTTCAGTTTATTGTATGTCCTGTAAAGTAATACTGAAATTTATAGCAGTAGTTTGTATTTGGCCAACATTCGTAATAACCACCACAAATGTCACAGTAAATTGTTTCACTAAAAAACCTAACAAAGTGACTGCAATAAATGACAGTACAGTAGTAGTTATAAGTAAATGACAGTACAGTAGTAGTTATAAGTAGTTACAAGATTATTTTAAGACTTCCCAAATTGCTTTGCAAAACCAGGGGCTTCTATAAAGTAGCAGTAGTAGTAGTAGTAGTAGTAGTAGTAATAATAATAATAATAATAATAATAATAATAATAATAATAATATAATAATAATAATAATAATAATAATAATAATAATAATAATAATAATAATAATATAATAATCATTCATCTTTATTTCTACAAGTACAGTAGTCCCCCTCGTATCAGTAGGGGATAAATTCCAAGACCTATTGTGGATACCCGAAACCATGGACAGTAGAAAACTCTACATACAAGTCATTTTTCATTTATGTACATACCTACCTATGATAAAGTTTAATTGATAAATTATACACAATAAGTTTAGAATTATCACTTTTCCACTGATGGGAAGCACTTCACTGCTTCTTAGGCTTTGAAGAACTACCACCATCACTACTTTGGTGTTTTGATGTCATTATTAAACAAAATTAAAGGTTATTTTGCGTCATGGTAAATTGAGGATAAACGAAACCACAGAAACCAAATCTGTGGATAAAGAGGTTCTAGTGTACATGTACGAAGTATACAGGCCTAGATGACATCAATGACATACTACTATATAGAAAGTCCTGTGGATGTGACCCATACCAGTCGACTAACACCCAGGTACCTATTTTACTGCTAGGTGAACGTGGATAGCAGGTGCCTTAAGAAAACACGTCCTTGTATTTCTACCCATACCGGAGATCGAACCACGGACCTTAATGTGTGAGCTGAGTGCACTAGCCATCGAGCTACGGTATGTCAATGCTGTCAATATGCTTAATGAAAGTCAAAGTTGATTTCCACATAATACAACGTTCAGGCAGAAAGTCCATAGTTACGCGGCGCATTTCAGGCAAACTTAAGCCCAACTAAAGACAACAAGGTCCTTAAATATATGCAGATAAGCATCTGATGAATGTATATATAAGATTACTACACAAGAACAATTAAAAATTTAAACTTATGTACAAAATGTTAATACAAGCTAACTAGCTTATTTATCTATCTACACCCTAATATCATACTGATTTAAATATTATTATTACCATTCCTATCACCATTATTACTAATATTAGTCAGGGAAAGCGCTAAAATAGTCAGATCATTAACCAGTTCAAAATTTAAAGTGTTAAATATTTTGTAGAGACGAGTTTTTAGACATGAAGTTATATTAGTTCACATTAGACCCAGGGTAGGTACAGAGAGAGATTAGTAATAATATAACCTACAAATATAACCATAGCAAACAGTATATACATAGAGATTGACAATAATAGCATCAATTATCCTTAATGCCGGGTGCAGCTGAGCACCTTAGCAATATATTGATGGATATTCCACTCCATATGGCTTATTATGCCCGCGGCAACACCTCAGGTTAACCCATATATTCAACTAACAAGAGAGAACTTCAAACAACTTAAATTATAATGACTTAACTCACCAAGTTGTACACTGACTCACAAACTTTCACAGTGTTTACTACACAGTCCAAGTCAGCACCATGTATGGAGAATCTTGCCTTAATAATAATATTTTAATAATAATTTCTTATTTAATAAGTTCTTATTTAGGGTTTCGTACTTCAGTTATTTTTTTACGATGGTTCTATTAGTGTGTTATTTAGAAATTATCGTTTAATAACCCAACAAGTCAAACCAAGTTTGTTTGTTATTTTCAGTGGCTTTCTTAACACATTATATTAATTCAAACTCAGTATCATCACCAGAATTTGGATCATATTTATTACTAATTTACGTTAATTATGGATTAGGTTAAACTTAGCTTATTCGGTGTAATTAACTATGTAGTGTTACATTGTTAGTATCCATTTATGGGAAAGATTGGACACTTTATTTTTTAGGAAATAAGATAAAACCGCAGTAAGATTGAGTTTATTCAGGTATACATAAATACCGAGGAAAAGGTGAAGCTGCTAAGTGACCTTGATACCTCAAAGGCAATGGGACCAGATGTCTCCCTGTGGGCCCTTAGAAAGGGAGCAGAAACATTGTGCCACTAACCACAATCTTCAATACATCCCTTGAAACTGGGCAACTACCTGAGGTATGGAAGACAGCAAACGTAGTTCCCATTTTAAAAAAAGGAGACTGAAAAGAGGCACTAAACTACAGACCAGTGTCACTGACTTGTATAGTATGCAAAGTCATGGAGAAGATTATCAGGGGAAGAGTGGTGGAGCACCTGGAATGGAACAAGAGTGTAAATGATTACCAGCACGGATTCATGGAAGGCAAATCCTGTGTCATAAACCTTCTGGAGTTTTATGACAAAGGAACAGAAGTAAGACACGAGAGAGAGGGGTTGGTTGATTGCATTTTTTTGGACTGCAAGAAAGCCTTCGACACAGTTCCTCACAAGATATCAGTTCAGAAACTAGAGGATCACGCACATATAACAGGAAGGGCACTGAAATGGATCAGAGAATACCTGACAGGGAGGCAACAACGAGTCATGGTACGCGATGAGGTATCACAGTGGGTACCTGTGACGAGCGGGATCCCACAGGGGTCAGTCCTAGGACCAGTGCTATTTTTGGTATATGTGAATGACATGATGGAAGGGATAGATTCAGAGGTGTCCCTGTTCGCAGATGATGTGAAGTTAATGAGGAGAATTAAATCAGATGAGGATCAGGCAGGCCTTCAAAGAGACCTGGACAGGCTGGACACCTGGTCCAGCAACTGGCTTCTCGAATTTAACCCCGCCAAATACAAAGTCATGAAGATCGGAGGAGGGCAAAGAAGATCGCAGACAGAGTATAGGCTAGGTGGCCAACGATTGCAAACCTCGCTCAAGGAGAAAGATCTTGGGGTGAGTATAACACTGAGCAGGTCTCCAGAAGCATACGTCAAACAGATAACTGCTTCAGCAAATGTAGACAGCCTGTACTGTCTGCACAGACAGCCCATGCTGTCTGCCAGCTTAGTTCATATTTCGCGCCACTCAGATGCTGCCCTCTGTAGCCAGGCCTGGTGGCCACTTCAGCCTGCCTGGCCTTGCCGCGCTCTCACTCACACAGCGGCCTAGCAGCAAGACACAAGGCCTCCCAGCTCTCTCTCGTGGGCATGGCCCTCTCGGGCCATGGGCACAACACACAAGCCTGTGTACCCACAACGACTTAACAATAAACAAAGAAGCCTCCGAAGACGTATATCATTTAACCACCCGCTACCAGAATACCAAACAAGCCCGTTATACAAAGCTGAGATCGGCGTTCCGATACCTAATAAGGAATCTTTCAAGACATTGTACACCGTGTACGTCAGGCCCATACTGGAGTATGCAGCACCAGTTTGGAACCCACACCGGGTAAAGCACGTTAAGTAATTAGAGAAAGTGCAAAGGTTTGCGACCAGGTTAGGTTCAGAGCTAAGGGGAATGTCCTACGAAGAAAGGCTAAGGGAAATCGGCCTGACGACACTGGAGGACAGGAGGGTTAGGGAAGACATGATAACGACATACAAAATACTGCATGGAATAGACAAGGTGGACAGAGATAGGATGTTCCAGAGAGGGTACACAGAAACAAGGGGTCACTTTTAAGATAAGATAAGATAAGATAAGATTTCGTTCGGATTTTTAACCCCGGAGGGTTAGCCACCCAGGATAACCCAAGAAAGTCAGTGCGTCATCGAGGACTGTCTAACTTATTTCCATTGGGGTCCTTAATCTTGTCCCCCAGGATGCGACCCACACCAGTCGACTAACACCCAGGTACCTATTTGCTGCTAGGTGAACAGGACAATAGGTGTAAGGAAACGTGTCGAAATGTTTCCACCCGCCGGGAATCGAACCCGGGCCCTCCGTGTGTGAAGCGGGATCTTTAGCCACCAGGCCACCAGACTCAGATAAGTCACAGGGATGTTAGGAAGTATTTCTTCAGTCACAGAGTGGTCAAGAAGTGGAACAGTCTGGCGAGTGATGTAGTGGAGGCATCAACCATACATAGCTTTAAGACGAGGTATGATAAAGCTCATGGAGCAGGGAGAGAGAAGCCCTAGTATCGTTCAGTGAAGAGGCGGGGCCAGGAGCTGAATCTTGGCCCCTGCAACCACAATTAGGTGAGTACAATTAGGTGAGTATAGATTATCATACATAGCAGCATATGTGTAGAGAACCTGGGATAACCCAAAAAAGTCAGAGTGACTTATTTCCATTTTATATTTTATAATATTTTATATTATTGTATATACAAAATATTCAGCATTTCGGGCGACCTTTTTGTCACACTGTTTAATTTATAGGCAAAGAACTTGATCGTGCCGGAGCTCACTTCATGTCCAGCTTTAGCCATTTATTCTGATATCTGCTACCCCTATGAAAATAAATAAGATTGTTATGTTACTATGTAAGACAATGTTAATGTTAATATGTAAGACAATTGCAAAATCTAAACTTGTGCTATGTAACTGAATGAACTTACTTGCTCGGTTGGCAACGCTCTCGCCTCCCACTAAATGTCCATGGTTCAGTCCCCGGCACAAGTGAAAACGTTGGGTATGATTCCTTACACCTGCTGACCTGATCACTTAGCAGTAAGTAGGTACCTGGGTGCTATCGTCTTGTGTAGATCGCATCCTGGGGGATAAGACTGAAGGACCCAAATTGAAATAAGACAGATAGTCTCCAATGATGCACTTTCATGGGTTATCCTGGATGACAAACATTCTGGGTTAAAAACCCAAACAAATCTTATCATCACTAGGATGTGACCCACAATTCGGCTAACACCTGGTGTGAGAAATGTACTTAGATATAAAATTCGTACTCTTCAGAGAGGAATCAGGTGTCTCTAGGTGTCGTCTAGACTTCCAAACGAAAGTCCAGACGGATTAGCCTGGATTTTTTTTCTTGTTTTCTTCCTCTACTTTTTCGCTTTTATTTCGCCCATAGCAGAAGAAGGCCTCATCCGATCGGCTTCCAATTTTTAACACTAGTGTACGTTAACAAGATCAAAAATTATAGGAATAGTTTGTCATGTGCAGGTTCCCTTCGACCAATGTTGCTTAACTCACTTCCAGCATCCTAGAATCTCTCTAATACACTGCAAAATCCTTTGTGGCATAGCTTCATACATTCAAAATAGATGACAGTAGTGGAGAGTGAAGTTCGGGTGTGTGTGTGTGTACTCACCTATTTGTGGTTGCAGGAGTCGAGACTCAGCTCCTGGTGTGTTGTGTGTGTGTATATATTTGCCCCCTTTTACGTGTAAAAAAAAGTGTGACACCTTTAATGCCATTAAATATGAGGGAATTTGTGAGATGCCCACTCTGGCAATCAGTGTTGGACACATAAGACTCCTGTGTCCTGTCTTCACAAATGCCCCTATGGATACACTTCTTTGGAAGAGTTAACCTGCCTTCCTCCATGCACAAACTAGAACAGACTTGTGTGGTGGAGTCTGTCCTAGATAGAAATCCTCCGATTCTACCCGAATTATTAAGAACTTAGGATTTGGAAGTTATCGGAGCCATTCCAGGATGGTGGAATTGGGGTCAAGAACCTGGAGTATACCTGGAGAGGGTTTCGGGGGGGTCAACGCCCCCGCGGCCCGGTCTGTGACCAGGTCTCATGGTGGATCAGGGCCTTATCAACCAAGCTATTACTGCTGGCCCCACGTGAACCGACTTACGAACCTTGGTCAAAGAGCACGTGAACATGTCAATTGTTCCAAGAATCTGGTCCTCGGAAACTTGCAGGAGATTAGACGAGACGTTTTCGAGTTATCAGCAAAATATACTCGAAAATATGGAGGAAGAAAATAAAATTAATGCAACCTATTAAAGGCCCCTCTTCAGGGATGCCTAAATTAATACCGTTTTACTCATTAAATTAACAGAATGATAACTACACACTCTAACAACAATCTTAACTCTATTTTAGCAACAACAACAACAACAACAAAATAATAATAATAATAATAACATAATACATATTAGGATAATAAATATAATAATTATAACAAATAAATAATAACAAATAATAATAATAATAATAAAATAATAATAATAATAATAATAATTAAAATAATAACAAATAATAATAATAAAATAATAATAATAATAATAATAATAATAATAATAATAATAATAATAATAATAATAATAACAATAACAACAATACTATTAACATTAACAACAACAACAGCGCCAAAAATAACGACAATAATAATAATAATAACAGCAACAACAGCAAACAATGAAAACTAGATATATTACAATGGTGACTGATGGAGGCTCCTACGACCCTATGGCCATCCTTCTCCTTCTGGAAAACCCTTGTTCATGAATATTTTTTTTAATACTTGTTCATGAACGATATTTTTCTTGTTCGTGAACAAGTTTTTTAATTATTATTCATGTACGATTTTCTTTTATTTTCATAAACAGTAGTTTTAACTGTTGTTAATGAACGATTTCTTTCCTTGTTCGGGGAGGGGGGATGCAAGTGTCGTGATGCTGGTAAATGGCTCTTGATC